ACCCTGCTGTCTAAGCTATTTTGAGCTGGTCTTCTGTTACTTGTAGCTGAAGGTATACTGGTAAGGTGACAACCCCGCTGGGAGAACAGTTCTCACCTGGTAAAGGATGACGTAAACTATAAGGAACTTTGCTGATCTCTAGGAGCTACAGCCCAGGCCTGGATCCACTGACCTTTGGTCTTCTAATGAGAAGGGTGATCTTGGTTTGGGTAAGGAATGATAATGACCTGAGATGTCATCTGAATCAGCTGGCAGGATCTACAAAAGGCACAATCCTAGCTGTCCGGAGGTTCAGTTCACCAAACATCAGTTAGGTATGTTCATGGTGCTGGGGTCCTCAGGATGAATCAGACACAGGTTTTGCCCATAAGAGGCTCACAGTGCAGTGGGAGAGACAATCACAGGCCAGTGATGAGTGATGTATAGGTCTACACAAGGTCCAGAGCCTGACGTGCAAGGTGGCTGGGTGAAACTTCATGAGGGCATTTTGAAAGACAACAAGAGAAAGGGTCAGAGAGAAAAAAAGCATTTCTTGGAAGAATGGACAACATATGCAAATTCGGGACAACCTGGCTCCCTCGGGGAAAATTACAAGTCATTTAGCGTAATGGCAACCGGGTTGGCCACCTACAGGTCATATGTCTCTGGGCAAATTACTTGATGTTTCTGAGGCTCAGAACTCACATTTATAAGAGAAAAAGAAAAAAAAAAAGGAAAAGCAAATGGCTGCAAAATTAGGCAACAGAATATACATGCAAAGCACAGGGCTTGGCATATATTAGGTGCACAAGAAATGCTCTTTATTTTCGTCACATGGTTCTAATTCATTATCTTCCCTGACCCAGGTGGTTTTCTTCCCTTTCTCACTCATTCCTGAGCCTAGTAGTGAGGCCCCCCAACTCCCGCAGACTTTTCCTCAGGCAGGAAACCCGAGCCCACGGCCTGGCCTAAGACATCTTCTAGGGCTGGATGGTTTGTGTGATTCCTTCTCTTCTCTCTCTTTTTTCCCCTAAATGCAACAAAATAAAACCAAACAAAAAGCCCAACGCCTGGCGTGGCTTGTCAGGGAGTTATGCAAGTGTGTAAAAAAATAAAATAAAATAAACACTGCGTTTTCGGCATTTGGGGCTGTTTGATTAGGCACGGAGCAGAGCCAAGGGCCGGTGAGACATAGGGAAAGCTCAGGGCAGAGTGGACAGGGGAGCGGCTTTGAGAGGGAGCTGGGGGTGGGGGCAGGAGGAACTTGGAAATGGCTGTTTGCCTCTTGCAAACTTGGCAGGGCTGTGGCTGAATGAGCCCAGCCACTGGGCATTTGGGACCCAACTGCTCCACATTCTTTGGCCATTCACCATCCCTGTTCCCTGGCCACCAGGACACTCCAGGGGTCATTCCATCTATTCCCCTGTCACTGTAAAAGACCCTGCACCCTTGTCTCAATAGTTAGGGCTCCCGCCTCCCGTCCTGAGGAGATCCCACAGCCTGTCTTGATTACTCACCACCCCTATCCGTGTCCC